GATATATAGCGATATTTAGTATTACTGCTAGTAAACGAATTCGCTATATATCGATTACTATCACAATCGTGTGTAATCGGCAGGGATGATTGGTATTAATATATAATTACCCGGCTAGTAATCGATATATATCGGTTTATTTTTTGTGCTAATGATAGCAAGTTTTTAAATGCGTGTAGCACATATGAGATTTGTTGGCCAACATCAGTGCGATAACCGTACTTGGGCATTTTTATAGCAGCCAGGTATTAGCCAAATATGATTTTAAATAGTTTAGCTAGTCTAAGTTTACATACGTCTAATAAATTTGTACGAGGTTATCAAAGAAAAAAAAAATATATATAATAACTAAGGCTATATTAAAATTATTTGTCATTAAATAACTCTGCATTAGTTGCTATATAGTATATTATTGTATTGTAAGAAAATATTATATTTTTATATTTCTAAGTTTATTTACTAATTTTTTATAAATAAATATACAGAATTTAATTTTAAAGATAAAATTATATATTCTGTTATTGATAATAGTACTAATATAATAAAAGCTATTTGATTATAAAATAATATTATTTAACTTCTATATGCTATATACACTTTGCAATTAACTATTAATTTTTGTTTTGTGAAAATCTACTTACAAACAATAAAAATAAGAAAATTAGTTAACTTTTTTAACTTGTTAAAACAACAAGAAAGATTAAATAAAACTCAAATAATAGTAATAAAAAAAGACAATTCATCTTTATTTAGTTTAACTATACTTTATACAGATTCTAATATTATTACCAACCTTATTCTTATAATTATATTAATCTCTCTTACTACTAATGGACAATACCAAAAAACCTCTACTTTTTCATACTTAAAAAAGCTTTTTACTCCAAATATATTACTATTTAGACTATAAGAACTAGATTTTTAACCAAACCCAATAACCTTATTAATACTATTAAAATTATTAAATTTAAAATTAACCTGCTAACACTTCTAAACAATATTAATACATTATACTTTAACTATTAAATTACATTAGACAATCTAAAAACAACTTTAAAAAAAAACTTATCTAGCTGCTAATATTTACAACTAGATTTAACAAAATCAAATTTAACAATATTAATTTAAACATCAAGATATCTTATCTTCAAATATATGCAATTTAATAATAAAACCTAATTTTGTTTAACTAATATTTCTACTTCCAAGATAAAAAATTTTAAATACAAATTATTTATACAGAAACTTTTTAATTATTTAAGCTTGCACTTATAATACCCTTCAACATATCTTATATTTATATACCCATGATGCTCTACTAATACAGAAGACAATTTATATTAAATTACTTGCTCTACAAACTCAACCAATCTTACTATACTACTATATCACTTCATTAATATAATAGTAGCAAAACACAATATGACTGTTATGACTTTATACAAAGATTCTACCAAATTTATATCACTAATCAACTTCTTCTTGGCATCATAACCAAAAAAAACTATACCTCCATTTTAACCTACTAATACAGCAAAACACCTTGCTTTAGAATTCTTTTACAAATTGATTAGTGTAGTTAATAACAAACTATAAATATCTAGTAGAATTGAAACTACAAATACAGTATAAACCCTACTCCATCACATAACTCTACTTTTAATATAATTCCCATACCCACCCCAACCCTCATAGTAACTCCTTTCTACTTTGGGCTACGGCCTACATTAATTTTAATTCACCTCCACTTAGAATCTTAGATTCATAGTCTAGAGGTCTTCGACCTACCTAGCTAGGGTTTAGGTCTGAAGTAAAGTAACTTAATCTCCACTTCTCCAAAAATTTATGTAAACACATTGTAAAAATTTACATAATAAATAATAAAAGAATTGAAGAAAAGACCTCACTTAAAAAAAAAATAATAATAAAATAATAATAATAATAATAATAATAATAATAATAATAATAATAATTCCTATCGCAAGATACTGTAAAAATATTGGTAGAAAACTTACCTGATAAGATCTAGTGCTCGGCAAAATCAAACACAGTAAATACTTGTGATTAAGTCGGACATCGAATGATCACAAATCAACCAATACTATATTCAGTTTTAGTTAACCTGCAATCGTTTGATATTCGATTTAGTCACAAGTATTTGATTGTCAAATTTTTGTTTGATTGTACCGAGCACTACAGTACAGTGTTGGCCGATGACCTTCAATGACCTATATGACCTTTATGACCAGTCATAGGTCATTTGGTCATAATGAGGGTTAATATGACTTATGACCTTTTTAATATAGTAAGAATCATAGTAAAAAAAATTTTTATTAGCATTTAATATGACCAATATGACTTATGACCAAAAGTTATATGATTATATGACCAAGGTCATATCAAAAAAATAATATGACTTAGGTCATCGGCTACAGTATACCAATATATTATACTGTATATATAATTTGTTTTGTCATGCCAGTAGCAGTAGTAAAGAAAGTTATTATCGTCTTCGAAAACTATGATTCCGATTATAATTATACTAACTATATACTTGTTTTATAGCTTTATAGTCTTTTATCAGAGTCTAAATCCAAAAGAAGCGGTTTATTATACAAATCACTCTCATTATAGTGAACTCCCGATATAATGAAGACTAATTAAAATCTTGGTATAGTGAAATTAGACATATATATATAAAATCTTCGATATAGTGAATTTTTATTAATGGAATCGGTCACTTTACTGCAACGAGAATTGCTTGTACTTAGGGATGGACAATTATACGATACCGAATAATAAAAATGGTATAATTGATATTGTATAATTAAAAAAGTACCGTATAATTGGTATAATGGGTTATACCTGGTATTTATACCAAATTTTATTATATCGTATAATTTCCAACCCTACTTGTACTATTATTATCACTGACAAACCCAGTGGGAAAACGAGCGGGTCTAATAATGCTCCAAGCCTTAAATATACCCACAAAAAAACCATAATAATCAATACATATTATTTATATAAGATCTTAATTTAATGATTTTTCTGTGTTTTTTTGTCACCAGTTTTTTTACAGCTTTATAAATCATTTATCGCAATGAGAGGGTATTATATATTTTAAGGATGTGGTGTATATATAACATACACATATAAATTTAAATTCAAGCACCTTCCTCAATGGACTCGAATCTGATTAGTCTCTCAGGTCAAATTGACCAATCAGATTTTTCATTGAGAGAGTGCCAACCTTATATAATTTACAGTATTACAGCTTAATTATGAAAAATATCCAAAAAGTTCATATATGAAATGAATAATCTCTTGTATAAGTATTATACAGCAAAACCTCTCTAAGTGCATGCCAACTATAACGTGCACTATAGTTTGGGGCACGGGAAAAAAATTAGGCATGACTTGAGCTGAGCATGCCCCTCATGCCCATGGACATGCTCTTTTTAAATCATGTAATTAACATATAGTCCGCATGTTGATTTAGTATCTACGTTTTCGGCTTTGCCTGAACTTATTGCATTTACTAATTGCATTAACCAATTAAGTAACTTTAAACATTACATGATCAGGGCATGCATTTATAGAATTAGTAGTCTTCCTGATGACCATGATCATCTTTTTGTGTTAATTTATTATCTACATTCCCGAGAATGTTCGACAAACATCCATCTCTAGGTAAAACTTTATATTTAGTTTCGTGAATGCATTTATAGAAAGTGCTCATATAAGTCTGGGTTGTAAAATCTTATGCACGTGCAGAGGTTGAAGGATGCACTTAGCACTAAATCCCAAGCTGAGACCGGGCTATGGTGTGCACTTAAAGGTGAGCACTTAGAGAGGTTTCACTGCACTGGAAAAGCACACGAAACAAAGTAATTGTATGATAAATAATATTGGCATAGATTTATTACTATACCTAAATATCTAAAAAAAAGAATTACATTCATTTCTAAATCGATTTTATGAAAAAAAATAGATTAAAAAATGAATTTTGACATGTTATTTCGAATGGTTATTATGTTTCATGTAGAGATTAAGAGATACTGTATCTTAAAAGTTTCCAGCTTTAAAGATTAATGATAGAAAATAAAAAAGATTCATGGATTTCGACTAAAATCAAATTATATTGATCAGAATCCATTTTTAGACTTGATAAAAGAAAGATCTTTGAAAATTATCAATTTTATCTTTGAAAAAATAAATTCAAGCTAAATGATCTCAATACATACAATATTTATTACTCCTTTCGCCTTTTAATTTGCCTATTATACATGATATCCTCGTCAAATGAATCCACATGAGTGCGGCTTGGAGATACAATTGCACTATAGATAAATGATTAGTTTCTATATCCGTCCATAATTAAAACAATGGCAAGAATTTTTGGCTTACGTAGATGGTTTATTACAAACAATTTCATTAAACTTCATTCCAATTTTTTGTTCTAAAAGTTTATCAGTTCTATTATTGACTGTTAAAAGATTGTTGTTCCGATTGTTAGGAGAAAGTTCATAACTAAAGATATTTGGATTTTGAGCTAATGGTCGCCTTTTCGGTGAAATGTTTTGACAAGAAGGTTTTAAATTTTCTCCAATGAAATTATTTTTTTCTGGTGACCGGTTAGAAGTTTTATTCACATCTTTTAAACCTATAGTGCTCTTCTCATTTGATATTTCGAAATCAGTACCTGCGATAGTTATAAGACGCTCAGTTGTGTTAGAGCAGATGTATTGGATCTAGAAATTGTTTATTTATTTATATTACCATTTTTTGCTGATGACGATTGATCTTGTTCGATCATCAAATCTGTATCACTAATTTGAATGGATTATATCAGTATATCATAATGTTATGCATTTGTTAAAAGCGTAATACATACACATCATCTTCAGGATCTGCTAAGAATTCCGCCAAGAAAGAATCCATTTTACTGTCGATTGCTGAAAATTAATCTCATATGTTATATTCATATATGAAGAGTATTTAATTTAATAATATATAATAGTATTTAATTCATTAGAAATACCTGCGAACTGGGCCAAAATCGCTGCGCGAGTTAGATGGTCATCTAAAATAAATGTAATAATATTATTTATCTATGTAAAACCAAAATGCAAACCAATTATGAATTTTGTACCAGTTGTTGTGGATGATTTTATGGTGTTATCTTCATTTCGCACAGCTTCTTGGTTTGTATCGGATGATGACGCGTGTTTTGGAGAGTTTTTTCCGTCATTTGACGTTAATGCAGGCGTGACCTTATTTATTGAGTTATTCATTGGACATTTTTCTCTTTCCGTGGGAGCCATAGATTCATTTCTTGGAGAGGTTAGGTTCGATACAAGTTTTGATGAACTTTCTTGAGAATTTTTATTCATCATGGTAGTAGATGTATTCCTTAAGATCTGTGATGTACTCTTCGAATTTTGACTAAGAGAAATGGGTGTCGTTTCTTGACTTTGAGATCGATTCGTAAGATTTGTTGAGGTACTATCCTGGGACAGTGAATTTTTATTGTTATTGTTACTTGTTTTATCTGCGGAATGTTGTGGTGTACATTCGGCTGTTACACTTTTGTTGGATTTATCACCAGTTTTAGCGGCTTTCTGGATAAATTCTGGATTACGATGTAGTTTGTCAACATTAAATTGCGGCTATAATAATGGAATAATAATTAAATATTGATATTAAATATAAATTTTTTTTTTTTTTTTTGTTATACTAAAAAATGATGAGTCCTTACCGGCGAAACCTTTATTTTAACAATTTCAGAAGTATATTTCTTGTCGTATACACAATTACCCATTGCGTTTCCAAATGTCCGTAGGGCACGCTTGAGCGCATCTGTCATGGCTTCTTTCTTGGCCTTTGTATATAAAATAGAAGATTAATCTTGATGAACAACGTAAATTAATTGAACTATATATTTTTTTATCCCGAAAATACCTTCTCGAATGCTGCGGCCTTACTCTTTGAGTTTTCACAAGTGCCGTAACCCAAATCCTAAATAATTGGATCGTTAGTTTATCACGTTATTTACCGTTGTACAGCCGCCTTTTATTTCAAAGTTTACCTCATGATATGTACCATCCTTGAGAGTTACTCTGCATGTTACTGATATGCCAACCGAGACTCTTCCAGTATCTTGTGAAGTTTCAACCTACCATAATGAAGTACGCAGTTGATATCGAAACTTTACTTTATATTATAAATAAAAAGTTACTTACAAAGTCGATAGTGATATTTTGAATGCTGGATGACCATCCATTAAAACCAAAGACATTATTGGCTAAATTGATCACCTTCCATCCCTCGACGTATACCAATCTTCCAACTATTTGTTAATGGTAAAAGGATGTGATAAAATATTATTATATCTCGTTTTGTTGAACAAAACATAATGAACAACAACCTTCTACATTAATGATCAATTCTGCTCTGAAGGGATGCATTCTACATTTAATACTGAAGCATATTAAAAATTACTAACCACCGGATGGTCCTTGCCTTGTACTAATATATTCGGGTCCTAATTGTTTGTTTAATATTTGCCTAATCTCTTCATACTCTTCTAAGGTATAAGATATACCCGAGAACGTAGAAGGTAGATTCGTATTTTGTAATGCTTGTCTTTGTAATATCGGTTGTCTTTGATGACCAAGGTTAGGTTGCATATTTAAAAAGTGAGAGATATCGAGAAAATTTACGGTTGATCGAACTACTGATCGAACATAAATAATTTATTGATCTGCTATCCTTCGAAATAAACAATAACTATTTTTGGAAAACAAATGTGAAAATCTGCATCACTCAAAATTAGTATATACTATATATATATATATTATACTGTATATTTAGGATCTACATAAAGCTATGTATATCTGGTATGGAATTCATATATAAAAAAAAAAAAACTGGCAATGACAAAAATATTTATATGGCATCTTATAAGACGTTTTTAAACGTTAAGCAAAGTGTAAATCTAGTTAACGAGGTTAGAATTAGGGTTAGTAGAGCTTATAATTATATTAATCATAAATACAACGTTTATATATAAATCCTTTTTATACACTCCAATAATGTCAAATTACTGTGACCATATTGGCCTTATTCTGGAATACTTTTATATTAGTGCACAAGTTTTTTTTTTTTTTTGCTTAGCACTTCACTCACTTCACTTTCGCTTTATTGATCTTCCATGGTGTTATTTGCAATATGTTTTTTTAAATAAACAGATCTATTTCTTAAACCTTGTTTATTTTCCAACTAATGAAAAAAAAGGTGCCTGGATAAACCTGTTATAATTTAAATAGTAGAGGTTTAATCGGATAAATCCGTCATCCGTTTATCCGTTCTGATATCCAAAGGTATTCGGATTATTATCCGGATATCAATAGTAAAGCGGATATCCGAATAAATTCAGATCCGGATATTCGATGGATAAATGGATAAATGGATAATGGATAGGAACACCAGTAAATTATATATTATAATAAGGTTCACATCATTACGGCAGAGTCCTAAAATTTAAGACAACCCCGACATGCTGATACATAGTTGATGAATTGGCCGTAATGTAAGTTTATGTGATTATCACTAATTCTGTAATTTTAATAAATTTCACACTGTTTGCTATATCAATACCTTTATTTTCAATTTGACAAATTACAGTATAAACTATTTAAATATTTAGCTCAAGAATTAATTTATTATTAGCCCAACTTAGATTTTCTTGTTTTATTAATCAATATATAATTAATTTTAAACAATTTACTAGAATCTTTAAATAACCTAAACTTATATTTTTATATATACTATATACAGTATATATATATATTGTAGTATTATTTAGTTTTAGTATTTTTATTTTAGATATTATTTAATACTTTCATAACTTTTTCTAATTGTTTTCTTTTTATCTAAAATTATAAAATACTACAGTATCTGTTATTAATATTTATTCAATAGCTATTACTATTGTATATAATTTATATAATTGATAATTTAATGTATAAAAATCAATCTTGGCTTTATTATTTCACAAAAAATATATTGAATTTCGCATACTACTCGTGACCATATACATTTTGATTCGGTTAATGTAATGGGTTAATTTGATCACAAGTCGGATGATTATACTAGTGTTGTTGTTAATAGGTCGTGTTGATCCACATTTTTTATCCACTCTATTAAATTAACCTCGCTTCAGATTTTACTCCAGGCCGGTCTAGATTTTGTTTCGGATTGCTTCGGATTGCTCCAAATTTACAAGTATCTTTTTAATCCCACTCCAACGTGGATTGAAAGTATGTCACTCCATTAGCAACACTAGATTGTACGGTTCCTGCCATACTAATAGCTAACATATATTATATATAAATGCCAATTTTTTAGCTGCAATAAAAATGCAAAAAAAAAGCTTAATACTGTAATTCTAAATTTTATTAATAAAATTTAAAATTCTAATAATTTTAGTTTTTGTTTATTATAAAACGCATCTATGTTGTTTTACCTATTATCTGTTTATATATGTTTTTATAAATTTTTCAAAGTTCCGTTTATCTCAAATTAGGGTTGAGAAAAGTTTTGGGGACATGAAGTATTTTTTTAGAACACCACATTTAACATAGGTAATAAACACCATAACTGCGTTTAGTAAAATAGATTTATTATATATAAGCACTGAAAATTTTTAATTATATACAATTAATATAAAATCTTAAAAAAAAAGTTGATAATTTTTTATAATTAAAAGTTGATGACTCTTCTTGAAAGCCACTGTTCGGGTTACGTAAATTTCCGGATTTTCTATTATATAACGCTAGGTTCATGAGCTCGAGTTTGAACTTAAAAGCTAAACTCAAGTTCAAGCTTTAAGTTTACGAACTCAAGCTCAAACTTTAAAACTAAACTGAAGCCTATAAGTTTCAGTTTAGTTTATTTTTTGAATCGAACTAAGATTGAATTTACTATACACTTAACACCCCTAATAGAAATTAATAGCTTATCCAGTAACAACGATAAATAGCTGTGTTCATAAACTTTTTTGGTGCTTAACACTTGCAAAAAAACTTTTTTAATAGTTAATATAATCATAGATATATATATCAGCCTAAAATCATAGGCTAATATATATATATATAGTAAAGTTTAATATAATACAAATTTATTGTGAAAAGTTTGAGAATTCAACGAATTTTATTTTACATAGCGATAGTATACGTATTTTCAGCTCAACATCCTAATCTAAATCCATTCATTCAGCCACTATCGTTATATGGCACACAACTTGATGATTACGTATGTACGTATACGTAGTAATCCTTGGATCCGGATTTAATCATTAGCGGATTAACCGATTTAGTCATTAGATCCGGATATTTAAATATGCCGGCTCTATAATTTATAGTTATATTGTATGGGTATGTAATGATGTAGCGAATAACCTAGTTACACACAGGTTCATATTCCGTGCCGAAGGCACGGGATTTAAATATGAACCCGTGTGTGTAACTGGGTTATTCAATATACCCATACAATAACTATCTTATTGCACGGTGTCTGACGTAACAATCCCGTGCCAATAAAAAGCACACGGGTTGTCACATAAGACCCGTGCAATAAAAACAAATATTCGGTTGCATAAATTAGTAATAGTTATTGACAATCTATCGCTATTTGGTCATTTTGAGTATATCGATATCCATGTAAAATCCGGATATTCATTCAATACGTATAATTTTAATATGGGCTTTATATGGAAAAAGCGATCATATCATTATTACATAAAGATAGATACACAAACCATCCATCGATAGTTCTTGATGGTATTACAAAAAAAAGTTCTGGAATCTGTGTGATAATCATAATACCGTCACACTTGTCCCATTGCATTTGCACTACTAATTTTTTTTCTTTTCTTAACCCAGTGACAAAAAGCAAAGTGAGTTAGCAAACCTTGCCTTAAAATAAAATTAGTAAAAAAGTTATTTGAATTTAGTCAGGTAGGTGTCAGGATATCTTTGATTAAAGTTTGGAATTACACTCTAATTGATTAATGTTCAAAATTTTCGAAAAACTTTAATCGAAGATATCTCAATATCTACCTGGCCAAATTTGATGAACTTTTTTTGTTTTAATTGTAGAGATCAGGTGGATTCTAAAAAAAAAAAAAAGTTCATCGAATTTGGCCAGGTGGATATTAAGACATCTTCAATTAAAGTTTTTAGAAAAATTTTAAACATTAATCAACTAGAAGTACAATTTCAAACATTAATCGAAGATATCTTGACACCCACCTGACCAAATTCGATGAACTTTTTTTTTGTTTTAATTATGGAGATCAACAGAATTTGAATAAAAAAGCTCATCGAATTTGAAGAGGTGAGGTGTTGAGATATCCTCGATCAAATTTGACGATGCACTTCTATTTGATAGATCATTAACCTAGCTAAATTCTATGAACTTTCTTTTTTTATTGTGAAATTAGCTGAATTCGAATAATGATCAAATTTTTTACAAAACTTTAATCAAAGATCTCGACACCCACTCAGCCAAATTTAATGAACTTTTTATAGGGATCATCAGAATTCAAAAAAAAAGTTCATCGAATTTGGTTAGGTAGTTGTCGAATTATCTATCAAAACTTTGAAAATAATTATCAATGTGCTTCTATTTGGTAGACACTGGGAAACTTTTACGACTACTTGGTTAACCAAATAACATATCGTACACTAATATATGATACACTAGCGAATTGGAATTTAACAAGGAATCTTTATAATTGCGATTTTTTAGGTAAGAATTTTTTAAAAAAGAATGAATTTAAGGGATTTTACAGATCCTTCCGGGATCCATATTATTTCACCGACAATCACTTCGTAGACACCACATTTCACTGACAATTATTCATTGACAAGTTCATTTCACCGACATTTTATTTCACCGAAGGTTATTTTATCGACAAGTTTTTTTTTTATAAATTACACTAACTTTAACTCTAATTCTAGCCTGATCATAATGATATTGACCAGAATTACTTTGTCTGTAAAATGAGCTTCAGTGAAATAAATGTCGGTGAAATGAATAATTGTCAGTGAAATGTGGTGTCTGCAAAGTGATTGTCGGTGAAATAATACGGATCGGTTCATTTATTTCACCGAAGCTCATTTTACAGACAAAGTAATTCTGGTCAATATCATTAGGGTCAGGCTAGAATTAGAATTAAAGTTAGTGTAATTTATAAAAAAAACTTGTTGATGAAATGACCTTCGGTGAAATAAATTGTCAGTGAAATAAACTTGTCGGTGAAATGTGGTGTCTACGAAGTGATTGTTGGTGAAATAATACGGATTCAAGAAGGAGCTGTGAGAAGCTTATAAAAGAGGTAAGATTTTGATAACTCAAGTTTATGATTTTAATCATTACTATTCAATTATTAATTAATATAATTTTAAAGTTAATTGCATATTCTAATATTGGATCTAAAAACTCCACATTTTTGCAATGTTATGGAATATCAAAATACGAATGCACAAATGAATATATTTTAATTATGCAATATGTAGAAATGGGATCTTTACGTAAGAATCTTTATAATTAGCACGAATAAAGTGAAAGAAAAATTAGAATTATTTTTATTTATTGTATTCGATCTTCAAATAATTCATTCGAATAATACTGATACGTATTATTCATTGTTATTTACATAGCGGCAATATATCGGTGATTTCATATTTATTTATTAATGAGTTGGTGCGCTTTTGGTTTATACATATTATTTACCCAACATTGTATATATGTATAGTATGAAACCTTTCAATCAACTCTTAAAGCAAAGCCAAACACTTTACTTGAAACAATGTTTCAAGATCGGAATAAGAGCAAGTTATATTCAATTAATGGAAACGAATATTTTTTTTGATCATAATACGTAGTAAAGCATTTTATTATATAATGGAATTTTATCAAACTAGAAAACTTACATGGCCTATTGAATCCGAAAGAATACATTCGGGTTTTGATTATAAACCCATATTAAGTATAAAAATATACACGGGAAAATACTATAAAGTTTATTTATACGTATATTACGTACGTACAACAAATACGTACATATTCTATGTTATATATACATATATATATAGTACTATCTAAGCGGGTTACTTTAATCATCTATTACAATAACTTTTCTTTTCTTGTTATTATGAAGTGCTTCTAATGCCTCAGTTCTTTTTTCAAGTTCATTCATTCTATTGATCAATTCATGAATTAGGGTATCTGGAACCAGGACAAGTCTTTGAACCAAAGCAGGTTCATCGCGAAGGGAAATTAGTGCAGATTCATTGTGGGAAGAACCCGAGGCAGGCTCATTGTAGGGAGAACCTGGAACAGGCTCATTGAGAGGAGAAACCAGGGCAGGTTCGTTGTAGGGAAAAACCGAGGCAGGTTCATTGTAGGGGGGAACCAGGGCAGATTCGTTGTAGGGAGGAACCAAAGCAGGTTCATTGTGAGGGAGAATCTGAGAACGTTCATTGTGGGAGGGGACTGGGATGGGCTCATTGCGGGGGGGAGGCTGGGGGGGATCATACTGTGTAGTAATATTGTAAAGCATTAGTAAATACGCGTTAAAACCAATTAATACTATATCTAATCTATAATAATTTACCGTAATAAATCCTTGCTTTGAGGATTTTTTGTAATACTTAGCCGCCCTAAATTTAATTTTTTTATTTATATTATCGGGTTTATAATATGTTTCTTCTCCCATTCCATGAAAAAAAATCGAGGCGTCTCTTTTAGAAGCAAAATGAACATGGCCGGAACTAAATAAATAATAAAAATAAGTAATTTAATTAATGTTTTAATAAATTCATAAATTATTAACTTACAAATCCTCTGGTTTTTTACGGATATGCAAGAATTTGAAGGGCGATATTTGTTGGACCCATTCTTCTACGTCACTATCTTTGAAATCTTTAAGATTTCCAGTAAACTGGACAGTTAATTCGGGATTTGTACAGCAGGGAAGTAAATAATTTCCTATTAAAAAAAAAAAACAACTATAAGTTATATATACTTCTATAAAAAAACTATCTAGCACCTCTTCTAGTGCTAGAGAATTTAATGAATTTTTATAGAAGAGAAAAAGAAAACATCTCGCAAGAAAAGGATAAGGAAAAGAGCACCCATAAAAGAGAGGAAGTAAGAAAAAATACGCCGTAAGGAGAATTTTTCTTACCTTTTTCCATTAAAAAAAAAAAAAAACCTTTGTGACAACACGGGAAAAAATAACTGAGCAGGCAACAAAATGTCAACAGCAGCCGGAGCAGAGAAGTACACTTATAATTATGTATTGCTCAAGTTTGTTTTAAAAAAGATTTATTGAGATCTGCAATCGCGTTATACGCATACGTAAAAAACGCGTGCAAAACTAAATTAAAAAAAACACCTGCCACGAATTCTATTGGTTGATTATGTGATACTGATCATATGATTATGCAATGTATAGTATTCCTGGTACGTATAAATTACTGTACTTGATATTTTTCTAGTGATTTTGTTAATTCATTGGTTAAATTAACAAGCATATTTCATATAACAAACCTTTTCTTGATATTTAATGTTAATGCATTATTTGATTTTTTACTGTCTTTTTTTTGTTTTTTTTGAAACCCTTTAGTAGTGTCGACCATTGATGCTCGCTAGTATCTTCATTAGTCATTGCCGTCAATCGAAATACGCTAATGTCTTTATTAGTCATTGCTGTCAATTAAAATGCGCATACATGGATAGGTTTAAATTCTAAACAAGCCAAGAACGATTAAACCCTTTGAATAAATTTACCTGAATATTTAAATTTTCGTGCTTCTACTACTAACCCGCCTTGTGATTTAAATCCGATGCAAGGGCATAGATTACCTTCCAAATCGTTAGGTAGATGACATGCAATTTCTTAAATATCTATTTACATTAAAAAATATAAAATGATTACTCATTTTTGTATAAAACACTATCTTATTTCTAAAATTTAGATAACATCCAACTACATTACCAGTAATATGATGACCCATCACTTCCTGAGCAAAAAGAATATCTATCATCATCATGGTAACCACTCTCATGATTTTCCTTATTTTTTTTATATTCCTATCCTGAAAGATATGATATAAATGTTAATCTGTAATGATAAGAAAATAAATAAAAATTTACTACGTATTACCGGGCATGAGTATATTATTTTTATCCGGCAAACTCATATGATCATGAAAAAATTTCTTTCTGTTATTTTTTTCATGTGTTACGATATAATTATGTT